GGGCCTGTCCTGGTTAACGCCATTAAGTTTGTTCACTCGGCCCTTGTTGCATCGAATTTAGATAAGAAAATCAAAGTTTCATCGCCCCTTTTGTCCACCGTAATCCTCGATTCATTCCTGCCTTCGCAAGCCTTCTTCAACCGCTCGTGGAATCCGGTTTTGGTCCCTATGCTCGATTTCTTGCAGTCTACAGGCTCATTTCTCATGCTTAACATGTATCCTTACTATGACTATATGCAATCAAATGGTGCGATTCCGCTAGACTATGCGCTTTTCAAGCCTCTTACTTCGAACAAGGAAGCTGTTGATTCAAACACGCTTGTCCACTATACCAATGTCTTTGATGCAATGGTTGTTGCCACATACTTTGCCATGGATTTTCTGAACTTCGCTAACATTCCTGTTATAGTGATTGAAAACGGCTGGCCATCGAAAGATGATTCGAATGAGCCAGATGCAACGATGGAGAATGCCAACACTTACAACAGCAACTTGATCCGCCACGTGATGAATAAAACTGGAACTCCTGCGCACCCTGGGATTGCTGTTAGTACTTACATCTATGAGCTCTACAATGAGGACATGAAACCAGGGCCAATTTCAGAGAAGAATTGGGGATTGTTCGAGGCGAATGGTGACCCTATTTGTATATTACACTTGACGGGGTCCGGATCGCTGCTAGCAAATGATACTACTAACCAGACTTATTGTACTGCAAAGGATGGTGCTGATCAGAAGCTGTTGCAGGCTGCGCTAGATTGGGCTTGTGGACCTGGAAAGGTGGATTGCTCGCCGTTGTTACAAGGAAAACCATGTTATGAGCCGGATAACGTGATCGCACATGCAACATATGCATTCATCACGTACTATCACCAAATGGGGAAGACTTCCGATGTGTGCGACTTCAACGGTGTTGCAGATATTACAACAACAGATCCAAGTAATAAATTGAAAGCTTGTGCTTACTTTGTCAATGCACCAGTTTTTCATTGGAAGAAAAAGTAACATAACCTTTGCTTGTTGCAGGTCATGGTTCTTGTACTTTTCCGGGAAGGTAACAGTTTGCCTTTGCTTAAGAGTTTTTATTTGTTGCATAAATTTAACTATGTTGACAACTTAAATCCTTGGCAGGAATGGTACCATGGTAAACATTACGGCGCCATCGATGAATTCCGTTACTTCCGATTCATCCGGTCCGAGTTTTTACGGCAGGGGAGGTTTCACTGGCATTTAAGTGTTAATCAAAGTCATGCTATGGAGTGCAATATTCTTCTGTGTTTTTTGGGAGTAGAGTTGGAGAGTTTTCCCCCCTGAGTTTTAGATGGTAGTGTTGGTGGCTTATTCAATTGTGTACAAAGTAAAACGGAGAAACCAGATTCGGGTTATTCCGAATTCGAAGTATGCTGATTGTCCCGGTTACATTTGATCAAAAATTGAATGTTGCACTCATTGAACGTTTCAATTTACCATAACATTTTTCATAAAACAGTACATTCTTTGTGCAACATGTTTTCGTTCTGGTTCCGGAATGGTGCAGCCTCGTCTGAACATTGTTCGCGGAACTAGTTAGTGTGGCTCTGTTGGAAGGGAAGGAGCCATTGCAGAAGCTGATAAGGAGTCGAAAAGCTTCTGAGACAGCACTTTATTTGCAGCGTCTGATGGATGGAAAGCATCCCAAAATACATAATCCTTGCTTTCCTTGCACAACTTGGAGTTCAGCAAGCATAAACCGTCAATGCTTGTACCGACATTGCAACATGACATGTTCGCAACCTTAAAACCGGAACGAAAATCGCAATTTGTATACTCTTAACTTATCAAAAACGGCGATGGAGAAGGCAAAAGGAGAAATCATGACAATCCATATGTACCATAGGCCTTGGGGTTTAGGGCCGGAGCTAGGACGTTGGAGGTCCTGTGTAAATTCTTAAAAAGAGACCTTTAGTAAAAATTGCAAAGCTTGAATGCAGTATATATAAAATAATTTGTGATATTACTAATTCAAATCCTAATAGTGTAGGATATGGAGATCATGAAAATGAGCTCATTTCTCGTAAAGTGGAGTTAAACAAAAAAAAAATGAGATTTTTATTATAATAAATCTATTTTTTTTTGGGCCCTTACTGTTTCGGAGCCCTGTTCGGTCCACTCAAGTTGTACATGTCCCAGCCCCGCCTCTGTTGGGGTTGTTGATCAAATCCAGAACGGCCGGTTATGTATCAGTGAACATCATCTGTGCATTCGGGACGCGTTTATTTAGTGTAGGCTTTAGCTTTAGCACCTTGGGATTGAACTCCATCACCCATTCATTCACTTTCTTCAAGCATTGCCCCGTTTTCGATTTCACTATCTGAGAAGGAATGCAGCCTAATGGCCCTAGTCCATGGTACAGTATCTTCCGTGCTCTGAGCTCGTAAAGCCTCTGTCATTCATGGCCATTGTCGGTTATGACAAATTCGTCGTGCGTATACTGTTGTCCATATGCTAGAAAATGCATCTGGTGGGGTTGGGGGGGGGGAGAGAATACTTCGTGCATGCATAATTTCGGTGCCTACTTTCATGGGCAACCCATTGGTAATAAAAATCACTTTTTTTGTTGAATGCATTCTTTATAAACTCTTTTTACTACTAATTTTTCAAATAAGTAAAAGCTTGATTTTTGGCCATAATTTATGAAATAAGTTTTAAACCACCTATTATCATAATATCATTTAAGAAACACTTTCTCCTTCCCTTGGCATCGCATCCTGAGATTGCATCATCAATCTCGGAGGTTGAAAGATGACATGTACATAATGTTGCTTTCAACAAGACAAAACATTTCTCTACTAAAATCATTGATTGTTATCTTTTTTGGCCAAAGTGCGAATATTGAGGTTCTGTATACAACAATTAGATGTACTATCTGTTTCAAATCATGAGGTTGCTTCTTTATTGCTGTGGACTTTGAGTGGTTTGTTGACAGCTAAATTTCCGTATGTTGCAGGTATATGCTATTTAGAGCTTCTGTTCCTCGGCATGCCATCATATAGAAATTTGCTGGCGAGGAGATATCAAAACTTGAAGATCTAATCTCTGTTCTATCTTAAGCTTTCTAGAGGTGCTCGGGTTCCTCTAGAATATATAAGCTACCAAGATCGTCATCAGAAAAAGGTATTTTCTTGTTGGTTATGTGGTTCTCCTAATGCTGTTGTTTATACAAACTGTGGTGGTTGAAGATTGTGCATATAAGCTATTGATGAATTTGAATTTTTTTAGAAAACTGAATGGTTAAGATGTGCTTTGATCCGATCAGTATTTCTAACAGCAAATGAATATGTAATGAATTGAGATTGAGTATTGCCTTTCATTAGGCTATGAACTTTGCATGGTATTTTTTCCAACTATTACTAGGCTTGTTACGAAGGACCTGTGAATATGTCCCGAAGGACATGTGAATATGTCCCGAAGGACCTATGAAACCCTCGATTTTTGACATGCCAACTATACTTATAGCTCTCACATCATATAACATGGGCAATAATGTTATACATCATATAATAATGTACTTATGTCATTTCTCTTGTAATCACATAGGTCTTTTCTTCTATCACATATCACATGTACATATATCATTTATTAAATCATACAACCATATATATATATATATATCTTATGCATATGTTCCTAATGATTATCATGTATGGATGTTCATAACTATTGTACAATAAATACTAACATAGGAATATACTTATCACGAGTCTTATTCCTTTAAACTATATCTATAGTATGCACTCATCTCGATATCAATTAATTTCCAAATCCACCTCTATGATTTCCTTTCTTTGGATCAAATTCTAACTCAATGGTCGTTCCGGAACTTGCTTGTGCTCGATATCAACACAATCATACATATACATATCAACATTCTAATTATCATGATTTAACCCTTAATTTCTTAAGCTAAACGAGACAATCATACATATACATATCAACATTCTAATTATCATGATTTAACCCTTAATTTCTTAAGCTAAACGAAAAAGTTAATTCTATTTTTCTTTTAAAGTAGTATCGGTACCCCACACAGGGTATCGATACTTCCCTAGTTATGGTATCGATACCAATCCGGGTATCAGTACCCAATTTGCATTTCGATGTTTTTGTTTCAAGTATGGTACCGATACTGTCCTTATGGTATCGGTACCCTTGGTATCGATACTACCTTCCAAGTATCGATACCCCATGAATGCAATTCCTATTTTACTCTTGAAGTATCAGTACTGGATGAAGAAGTACCGATACCCAAAGCCCATATTTCACTTTTATACCCGAAAATTCACTCTTACTAGCTCAAACACTTCATGTTTTAATCCTTTCATACCTTTAACTCAATACACATACTTAAACCAATTTCTATTCATTCAATACATCCTTAACCTCAAAATCTCATCTTCCATATGGAAATCAATAATCAAACCAAATTCTCAACATATTCTAATTTCAATTTTATCACTTCATATCTCTTAATTCAACCATTGACAAGTCAAATTTAGTTTCTAATTCTACTTATTACCTTTTTTCCAAAATTTCATTTAAAAATTCATTATCTTTAATCTCTCCTAACTCCTTCATATTTAAAGTTAACTTAAGTTTTCCTTAAGCTTAAGTATCACCTAAGGATCATAACCCAAACTTAAATTCAAGGAATAATTAGCTAACAAGAAAACTCACCTTAACAACTTGGGTTCACGGTTGAAAGAAAGAAGAAGATGAAGATAACTTTGGATCTTTTCTTTTCCTCTTCGACATATCCCACATGTATATATTCTTACCATAAACCAAATTTTAATTTATTTCTTGATCAAATGACCCTTTTACCCTTCCATTATTCCTTCTTTTCCATTTATTCCTACACCAAGTTTACAATATAAATCCCTGAACTGTTCAATTTATCTAATTTAGTCACTAATTATGAAGTTTTACAATTTGGTCACTAACCCGGTATTGAGGATGTTACACATCAAGTGCATCTGCCTTTTTCCTTCCTCTAGAACGAGTGAGTACTGAGTAGTATTTTAACTGCTTGACCTTTTGTGCCCTGCTTCTGGTATTATCCAATTTTTTTTGGAATGAACTCAATTAAAAGATTTAAACACCATGGCTCATGTAATGCATACTTTCTATGATTTCTTAGAATTGGCTACCTTAGGGAGTGACTAAAAGATCTGGACCTATACACTTGAAACTGTTACGGTTGGTTAATTAATAGTAATGTTATGTTAGGTTAGTTATTTTTAGGAAAATATTTATTATTTTATTATGGAAGTATTAAAGATATTATTTATGAATATCTTATGCTATTAGAAGTCTTTCCTTAGTTGAAGTCTTTGTTTTTAATTACTTTCTTAGTACTTATTTCAATTGAACTATGTATCCTCTCTATATAAGAGGTAAATTGAGAATTGAATAAAACATGTCAGAATTTTTATAAAAAACCCTAAAAGATCTTTCTCTCTCTTTTAACTTGTCCTAAAAGTTTTGGTCTCCCTTTGATGAGCTGAGAGGTTTCAGTCTCCCTCCGACGAGCTGAATCATTAACACGAAATACAAGATCACAAGATAGTAACAGAAACCATTTCTGTTGTTACCCTTGGAAAGGTCTAATCATTAATAAAATTTGTATTAATGAGGAAGCTGATAGTTTAACTAAAACAGGCATAGGCTAGTGTAAGGTCAGGTGCTTTGGTTGTGTTAGGTGGATGTCTGTTGGAGATGTTTAATTAAGGTTCTTGTGTATTTTTTACGATCTGTACCTGGTTGTATCTTTATGTTTAGCAATAAAATTTTGGGAACTCTTTTCCTCCTTCCAATGGCCATTGAGTTTTTAGGAGCTTGATGGTTATGAAGGGGGGTTTTTAATGAGGCCCTATTCTTATAAAAAAAATTAATAGAATTTGTATTATTAATATATTATTATTTTTTGTTGTATGCCTCGTAAGTATTATTGAATTGCATTCACTTGAGATTTGCATCAGCAAATCTGGAGCTCATAAAAGTTTGTCCTTGTCTGGTTATGCTCTGTGCGTTGAAATACAAAACATATTACTTAGATAGATATATTTACTCTCTGCATTCGGTGCATCATTTTTATCTCTTTTTTTCAGATAAATGTTTTTAAAATAGAGAAGATTTCTTGATTGCAAGAATAGCATTCTCGAAGTTACCCCAGCAAGTCAATGTTGACTAGATCAGTACCTCTGTAGCCTTATAAACCATATTGAGCTGCTCAAGATTTTTTCGTAGGTTATTTGTTCATGCCATGTTTCTCTGCTTGTAATATGGGGTCAGAGCTAGCTCATTTTCCTTTTTCTGATGTATTTTCGAAGTCTGCTGATGTATCATACGTGCTTCTGAATATTGCTGTGTGAAACTCATACTCTAGAGTTTTATTTGGACTAATAGCCTTTTCAATCGGTCTCCGAACACAAAGAATTTTAATTCTTATAGTCACTACTTTCAATGAAAAATCAGATATTGAAAAATTTGTTAATTGCTTTTCAGGTTGTAAGGGCGTTAAAGTTTCTCCAGAAAGGAGGAGATTCGTACATGAGTAAGTGGGAAGCAATTTCTATTCCTCGTGGTACGCTTCAGGTTTGTTGTTTATTTTATACCTGTTGAGCTTCACTTCTGTTCTTTATTCCCTTTCTTCCTTGAATATGTAAGGTTCATTGTTGCGTTTGATGATTCGAAAGTTTGTTATTCATTTCTCTATGTTCAATTGATCATATGAAACTGAAAATCAGAACCATCATCTGTTGATTTGTTTATTTCTTATAGAGTTGATATGTTATGACTCCTCTGGATCTTGATGTTTTGCATTTTTTTAAATGGACTTGGTATTCTTGCACCTACCTCTCATTAACAAACATGAAATGCCAATAATATTAACATACAGATAGAACAGTAAATGCTCTCTTGTCCTAGAGTGAAAGAGACAATATGGAGGAGATGCAAAGAAACATGGAGAAAACATAGAGTTGAGGGTTAGAGGGGATAAAAGTTAAGATAACAGGAAAAAAGTGAGGAAGTAGTGGATCGAATATTCAATTGCAAGAGTCAATATATCGGCAAATTCTATAATGCCTAAGTTCCTACAAAATCACAAAGCCAACTATATATAGCTTACCATTCATAAATCCTAATCTCAACTTCTGATCTTCCTTTATCGCAGGCTTAGCAAAATTTTTGGATGGAGCTGTGACCATTCAAGCTCTAAAAACATTGCTAATTCCAGTCATCACTGTCACACACATCATAGTTTACCAACAGCCACAGTTGCTGATAGTTTTCTTTGTGTTTTTGCTTTTTGGCATTTCTGTCATTATTTGAGAACACACTTTAATACAAATTTAATGCAAGATTTATTTTATATAGACTACATTTGTCCATAAGGGGTTTGACGAAATCTGCCAGCTTGGTCTCCGAAGTGATACAGAGCAGGTTTCTAGTTCTTTGTTGTCCACTTTTTTGCTAGCTTTCCCATGGCTTATATTAGAAGTGTATCCTCATTTAATTTCCGTTTTCTTAATTTAGATTGCACGCCATGCGTCTGCACAAGGTGAAACTGGAATGCTTGTTGTTGACTCTGTGGTGAGCAAACTTCAGTTTTCGTCAGTCAAAATCTTCTTTAAATTTGCTCTGTTTTCTTTTAGTTTTAATATCTTCTGAATCTGAGCCTACCTGTAGGTGCCGAGTGGTCCGGCTCATAATCACTTGGAGCCGGGTGATGTGCTTGTCGGGGTGAATGGGGAGGTTTGTTATGCACTCATTCATTGAAGAAGCATGTTTTATTTTATATTTTGGAATGTTTGGATTTTCTCTTTTTTCTCCATGATCCTATATGATTTGATGGAAATAAAGTAGAGAAAAGTCAAGAAAAGAACTGCTACAAAATGGAAAAACTTGAAACGTGTAGTGTAGGAAAGTTCAATATTTCTTCATATTGATAAAAGAAAAGAAGCCTATAAATAGGCTTTACATCATAACATATTAACCACCCACGACTCTATCATCACAACTAAGTCACTAAGTCCACTACCAATTAAATAACTAATTTCTAAAGACTCACTCAAACCCACTAATAGTTACAACTTTCAATGAATGTTATTAAATATTAACTCCCTCCCTTAAACTGAAATCTGCAGATATCAGTTTAACAAGGAAGAATTAATCGTCTGCAAAATCCTCCTTTAGAGCAGCACGTGAACAAACTCCAAGTAGCTCCCTGAGCTTTTGAAATGCTGGAAATTTAAGAGGTTTTGTTAGAATATCAGTAATCTGATCTTCACTTCTGCAGTAAACCAAATTAATAACTCCATCATTCGTGAGATCCCTTAAGAAATGATACTTCACATCTATATGCTTGCTTCGACCATGTAGAACATGATTCTTTGAGAGCTTTATTGCTTAACTGTTATCACAGTAAATAAGAGTAGGCCCATCTTCTTTGAAATGCAGTTCTTCAAGAATCTTCTTTATCCAAATAGCTTGACAAGCACAAGCTGTTGCTGCAACAAATTCAGCTTCAGTGGTTGACAATGTGACGATTGGCTGCTTCTTTGATGACCATGAAACAGCTCCTGTTCCCAACATGAAAACATACCCAGATGTGCTTTTTCGATCATCAGTATCTCCTGTATAATCACTATCTGTAAAGCCAAAGAAATCTGACTTTTCTCCCTTTTTAAAGAATAGCCCAAACTCCTTAGTACCTTGCAAGTACCTAAGAATTCTTTTTGCAGCCAAAAGATGAATCTCTATTGGACACTCCATGTATCTACTAATGACACTTACAGCATGCATTATATCAGGCCTTGTTGTCAAATACATTAAGCTCCCCACAATCTGTTTGTAAAGTGTACTGTTAACCTTGTTTCCTCCCTCATCCTTGTTTAGCTTCAAACCAAACTCAGATGGTGTATTCACAGGATTACAATCCTTCATCTGAAACTTGTCCAAGATTTCTCCCACATACTTCTTTTGAGAAATAAAAATGCCAGCAGAGGATTGCAACACTTCTATGCCAAGAAAGTAATGCATCATGCCAAGATCAGACATTTCAAATTCAGCCATCATGGATTTCTTAAAGCTTTCAAACATGACTGTATTACTTCCAGTATAGATTAGATCATCCACATATAAGCAAACAATGAACATCTTCCCTCCATCTTCAATTTTTATAAAAAGTGTATATTCATGAGGACATTTTTGAAATCCTTCCTTCAAAAAATAAGTTTTTATACGATTATACCAAGCCCGTGGAGCTTGTTTTAATCCATATAGAGCTTTCTTTAACTTATACACTTTATGTTCATTGCCAATTTTTTCATAACCAGGAGGTTGATCGATAAATACCTCTTCTTTCAAATCTCCATGGAGGAAGGCTGATTTCACGTCCAACTGAAAGATAGGCCATGAGTTTTGAGCTGCCATAGCAATCACCAACCTGATTGTATCATGCCTTGCAACCGGAGCAAAAACTTCTTTATAATCAATACCAAACTCCTGCATGTAACCCTTAGCTACCAAGCGTGCCTTGTGCTTGTCAATCTCACCATTCTCCTTCAGCTTTGTCTTGTATACCCACTTTACGCCAATAGTCTTCTGCCCATTTGGAAGATCACATAGCTCCCATGTATCATTTATTTCAATGGCTGCAATTTCAGCATCCATAACCTTTCTCCATTTTGGTTCTGTGACAGCCACTTCAAAACTAGTAGGATCACAATCTGAAAACAAGGCAAAGTGGGTGAGTGGGTCTTCAGATTGATCAATTCCAGCTACCTCATAATCATGCATCCATGCTGGTCTTCTTCGAACACGTTGAGACCTTTGTGATTCAGCTGCAAGTGGGCTTTGTTCAGCTATTGGAATATTTTGAGTGACTTTCACTTCTTGCCCATCCTCCATAGGTTGCTACCCTTTCTCTTCATCATCAAAATCTGCTGGAATACTTTCTTTAACACCATTTTGATTCCATGACCAAGTGACTTCTTCATCAAATACCACATCACGGCTAATGACAATTTTCATGGTGCTAGGATTGTATAGTTTATAAGCTTTTGACTTATCACTAACACCAAGAAAAATGCATTTTTCTCCCTTATTATCTAGTTTCTTCCTCTTCTCATCTGGAATATGGGCATAGGCAATACACCCAAAAATCCGAAAATGATCTACAGCAGGTTTCCATCCGCTCCATGCTTCCTTTGGTGTCATATTTTGAACAACAAATACAGGACTTTTGTTCAATATATGAATGCTCCAATTCACTGCTTCAGGCCAGAAACTTTTTGGAATGCCACTTTTGTCAAAAGGCTTCGCACCAATGAAAAAATAAATAAATAAACCCATATCTTACGACTATAATCATCAATGAAAGTAATTATATATCTTTTACCTCCATTAGAATGTGGTGTTATTGGCCCACAAATGTCGGAATGAACAAGCTCCAATGCTTTCTTCGCTCTCCAAGATTTTCCTTGTGGGAATTGATTACGGTGTTGTTTGCTAACAACAAATTCTTCACAAACTTGAAAGGATACTGTAATTTGAGGAAGCCCTGTCACCATGTTCTTTTGTTGTAGTGTTTTCAATCCGCCAAAATTTAGATGCCCATAGCAAAAGTGCCATAGCCACGCCTCATCTTTTAATTTTGTTGAGAAGCACGTATGAGTTGTATTGTGGAGATATAGTGGGAACAAACGATTCGCCGTCATGTTAACTTCAGCAATTAACTCCAACTTTGTGTCTTGAATTTGACATACTCTATCTTTGATAGCAATCTCGTATCCTTTTTCTTGTAACTGACCCACACTAAGCAAGTTGGTCTTTAGATCTGGCACAAAATAAACATTAGCGATAGTGTGAGTGAAATTTCCTTTGGTTTGAATTGTTACTTTTCCTTTCCCATAACAGAAATTCTGGAGTTGTCACCAAACTTAACAGAGCTACGAAAAGATTCATCCAAGTCAGAAAATGAATCTTCTCTCCACACATGTGATTGCTGCAGCCAGTGTCTAAAAACCACATTTGTTGTTGAGTTTCTTCTTTCACGTGACACACCATCAAAAGAGACACATCTTCTTCATTTTTGCAAAATTAGTTTGATCTCCACTTTGTTTATTCAAATCACTTTGGCATTCTGATTTATAATGGCCATACCTATGGCATCTGAAACATTCAACATTGGACTTGTCTGCTGACTTTGATCAATAAGTTATCGAGTGGTGGCCTCCACGTCCTCTGCCTCTTCTTTGAAATTTACTCTCCTGATGATGACTTTGTTGTTGGTTCCCACGTTCATTATTGTTTCTGCCTCCTCGACCTCTACCTTTACCCCTTCCTCTTGAGTTTGAGAAATGAGGTAAAGGTAGAAGCCTTCAAAGCTTGCTCCTCTGAAATTGAACTTCGGTTCATCTTCTGTTCATGGACCAGTAAGGAGCTCTGCAATTCATCAAGAGAAAATGTATCTATGTCTTTCGATTCTTCAATCGAACATACGACATAATCAAACTTTGGTGTCAGAGAACGCAATATCTTTTCAACAATGGTGACATCTTCCATCTTCTCACCATGAAAGCGCATTTTGTTGCTAATCTCCATAGTCCTGGCACAGTAGCTGGTGACAGATTCTCCATCCTTCATTTGTAGAGTCTCAAAATCTCTTCTCAAAGTTTGAAGCTGTGCACGCTTCATTTTAGCAGAGCCTTCATATTTTTTCTTCATGGAATCCCAAATATCTTTGGAAGTTTCTTTGCTAAGAATTATTTCCAAGATGGGACGATCAATTTCCTGGAAGAGGTAGTTTTTTGCCTTCAAATCCTTGAGTTTTCTCCCTTCCAACTCTGTTTTCTGAGTATCTGTCAAGACTGCATTAGGTGTTGTTGCTTGAATTCCAGATTCAACAATCGGCAAATACTCTTTGGACCGTAGAAAATTCTCCATTAGCATACTCCAATGATCAGAGTGACCATCAAAACGTGGGATCGCAGTCTGCACAAAATTTGAGTCTGAAGCCATCAATGCTATTTGGAAACTCTCTCTCTTGCTTTTAACCTGGCTCTGATACCACTGATGGAAATAAAGTAGAGAAAAGTCAAGAAAAGAACTGCTACAAAGTGGAAAAACTTGAAACGTGTAGTGTAGGAAAGTTCAATATTTCTTCATATTGATAAAAGAAAAGAAGCCTATAAATAGGCTTTACATCATAACGTATTAACCACCCACGACTCTATCATCACAACTAAGCCACTAACTCCACTACCAATTAAATAACTAATTTCTAAAGACTCACTCAAACCCACTAACAGTTACAATTTTCAATGAATGTTATTAAATATTAACATGATTAAGCATTTAGAGGAAGACCGGCTTTGTGTCTGGTTTGGCTAAATTTCAATATGTATATTAATA